ATCCTTGTGTGTTTTAAAACAAGGCCAAGTTAAAAAAAAAAAAAAAAGGGCCTGTATTTTTTGAAACATTGCTTCTAGAAGAAATTCTCCGTATTTCATAAAACGCACAAGGTCTCAACCATCTTTATCGGCAGCTTCAACACCGACCATAGTACAACAGAAATACTATTCTTACTACTTTTATGTCAACAATGGATGACATGACTGCTTGTCTGTGAAAGGGGGTTGCTCATAGTGATGAACTCACAAGAAAATTATCATCGGATTCTGCAGTTCCCGTCAGCTCTACCGTGCTTTACAGCGTCTTTCAGCTCATTATTTTGTTTTTCCAGCTTTACTGTTTTGGTTCACTCTCACTGCTCTCATAGTGTCCTTTTTGATCGCAGCAGGCAGTTGTTTTCAGCAACTCTATAAAACTACTGTTCGCTTCCTTCCCAGCACCGAAGTCAGACAAAGTGACTACAACATAGTGGAGCATTCATTTCCCCCAGGAACCGGTAGAGATCAAAAACAGAGCTAAAAGAAGAGTAAATATTGGACTTACATTCACCTGATGGCCAGAAACGCGACTCAAATGAATGACCGTGTGTTCTGTATCTGCTGGATGTGTAAACAGGAAACTGTTCGCCATATCAACTTAAATGATGATGGGACTGCTGCTCCAAAGTGCCGAAAAAGTCAGTTACTGTAGATTTATAGTATTTTTCTCTGAGTGTTTGAAGCTGCAACTTGCCATGAAGCAGCAGGCAGGTCTTCTCTTATGAAGCTTCTTGGTATCGCTGCCATTTCATTACTTGTCCTTCAAATATGACAAATCCCCTTTGAGTTTTTCTCTGTTAATATGACTCCACAAACTGACTACAACTACTGTGAATATTGTTGACAACAATAAAAGATATGAAGGATGTCTGACCATCTATCTATTTGACTATGATATGAGGCTTTTTGAGTGGCATCCTCACACAAAACAATTTACTCCTACTAGTACTACTGACCAGGAAGCCTATAGGGAACTGACAGGTTGTTAAATGTATTTTAAATGATTTGTTACTAGACAGATAACTGAGGCTGAACTGACACGTTGGCTAAGTAGACTATTTAGTACACAGATTTGCAGGCACATGCAAGAAACAGTCTTCAGAGCTGCATCCTTCATCTTATCGCTGAGCTCAATTAGATCTGGCATCCATGGCAACTAAAGTACCAAGGAGCTGTCAGAAGACAACATGGTGAAAATAAAATAAACTTCAGTTAATTTTGTTTTGCTCACTCTGGTTTATTCAACAAGGCTATAATCCACTCAGGAAATAGCACTTTACAGAGAGCTGTGGATTATAAAAACCTTTACTCAGTGTCTTTGAGAGATATATATATATATATCAAAAAATACAGTATAATGTAATTGCATTTAAAATCAAATTAAATTATATCAGGCCAAGTTGCAAGAGGGTCTCTGGTGGATGATATCAGATCTCTCCCAGTAATGTAAAATTAGTTTTTTAAAAATGTAGTGGTGCTGAGCTGGCAGAAGTCTGAGTTAACTTGTCTACTAAACAGAGTCAGGGCTAAAACTACTACAGAATGATGATTCAGGTGTTTTGGGAGGTCTGGCCCTCACTGGGGCCAAACCAATAAGAGATTTTCCTGCTGGGGATTTGTCATATTTCCGATTTGCTCCCAGTGGACTAATTTTCTCATTGGTACAGGTATACAGAAATGCACACAGATGCACACACGGACTTCTAAACCTCACAGACAGACACAATGATAGCATGTGGGGTTACATGTATGACCAAAGGTTAATGTACCAAAAGTTACAGTGAAAGCACCAATGAATTTTTAGAACAGGAATCCACATTATAAAAAACATAAATGTAAAGATGGAAAAAAGAAGCAATCACTTGGTATTTTTCTTCGTATCACTTCTTTACAGTGAGATTTCTGATTCCATCATTTTAGCCCCGTTACAGTGCAGATTCAAAGTATGAAAATGCACTCTTTGGTTGACTGCATTATTCTAACAAGATTCAATTGTGCACGTTTGTCAGCCTATTATCTAGCTGTCCATAGCCAGTAATGACATGCTGTTGCTTACCTAATATATACCATCGCATAAGCAATGTCTGCATTAGCAATTCATTACACAAGTTCAGCATAACGTTGACAACCACTCAAAATGTCTCCATGGGAAGCTCTGTGTGTGTGTGTGTGTGTGTGTGTGTGTGTTTGTGTGTGTGTGTGTGTGTGTGTGTGTGTGTGTGTGTGTGTCTCAACTCTGCCTGTGTGTTGACTGATCCCTCTTATCTGTGAAGCTCTGTTGGTGATTAAGGTTTTTGTCTGTTGGCTGTCTGTACTAATGATGTGAGAACAAACATAGTGAGAGGCTTTATAGGTTTTTGTTTTACCGCTTTCATTTTACTGTCTGTCCTTTCTACTTTTAACCTCATGACTGTGAACTACATCAACTGTATTTCTGCAAACAATCTGCGCGCTACAACTTGTTTGCCCTGCCCTCGAGACATTTGACATGGAGACCCTTTTTTAAGTTATTTTTTTTGGCCTTCATTACACAGAACCAGAAGGAACAGACAGGAAATTCAGGGAGAAAGTAGGGGAATGACATACAGCAAATAGTCCGACCGGCCAGGAGTCGAACCGGGGACTCGCTGCTCAGAGCATGCGTGGTATGCGCCCTAAGCATTCAGCTACAAGGGCCACTTTTTTCTGTGAATCAGTAGAAAGAGGTTCAAGGTGAACAGCTGGAGCACACAGGGTGAAGCAACTGATTTTTGCTAATTTCATCATAAGCATCATATGGTGTAAGTATGGCAGTTGGAGAAACTGCATCACTAAGAAAATTACATTTTAGCAGGCGTAGTAAGAGCAGAATAGTCCGGAGCAGGTCTACCACAAAGCCCCATCATTAAAGAAACCATTGCAGTGTTGAAGGTGCAGAAATATAAATCCACATCCTTTGGATAGTGTCGGAAACCATTCAACAATGAGAGCCGAATACAACCTGGCAGTTAACAGCAACAGACAGGCTGTCCAGGATGTGGACGCCTCCACAATTCTCACCCAAGCATCAAGTCATATATAACCATTGTATGGTGGATGACAGCCATTCACACCACAGCTGTACACTGACAGAATAGGAAATATTTGAGTCTTAATTTTCCCTGCTTTAAAGACTAAATAGTCCACACACAGTTACACACACACAAAGGTTGCATGACGTTAGCAAAGCAACTTTCCTGAAATAAAAATGCTGTAAATTTAAAAAGCATTTATTTAGATTCCATCCCAGTTAGGGCACAAATTTCACCTTAACAAAAACAACAGTGATAACAGCTCAGAGAACCAAAGAAGAAGCTACTGTGACAAATTTACAAGGGAATATGAGAGAAGATGGAGATTTATAGTAAAAACCAGAGGTGAAGAGTCTTGTCAAAGGCTCTGACAGTCACACCTCAAAATGATTCATTCTAAGACACTGAACCATGAGATGTTAGCATTGAGGTGGGATGGCGACGGTAGTGCAGAGTAGCCCCTCCACCTCAGATAAGCTGGAAGTTGTCAAAAAAACTCAACAACTTATAATATATACTCAGTTGTCAGTTTAGTTGGTAAACTTAGCTCAAACTACTGCAATTTAATTCAACAGTCCAGTAATAAATCCTTCTTCATTAAGTTTACAATGTTCAGTTTTTATTTTAGAGAGGTGTTGATTCAACTTTATGGTCATTAAATATAAGCGTGTTTACAACTATTGTGAGCAGAGCTGACATTTTGCTGTCATAAGACTTTGTGTGCAGGGAAAAGGAACAACAAGTAAAATTATAACTTGCCGTTCTGTGTCTTGTCCAAGGACACTCTGACATATGGACGGGAGGATTCGCCAACCCTGCAATTATTGGACAAGCCCCTCCATTTCCTGAGCCACAGCCATCTTGACATGCTTTCAGCCCCTTTAAATTTTTTTGTACTATTTACTGTGCATACATTTTAGGTACTTTATACGTTTAGATTCTTATCCATCACACAATACCATCAGCCACCCCAAATTCATTCTGCAGCATGTCAACAACCAAACATACAGCCAGAACTGTAAGAGACAAGAAGTCCTGCAACACAGCCCTGATCTGAACATCACTGAGTCAGTCTGGGATTACACAAAGAGACAGAAGACACTGAGACAGCCTAAATCCACAGAACTGTGGCAAGATGCTTGGAACAACCTACCTGCTAAGTATTTTGAAAAATATATGATATAACGTGTACCAAGGACTGGTGCTGTTTTAAAGGCAAAGGATGAATATTAGGACCGAATATTCATTTGATTGAGGTTTTTGCTGTTTACAACACTTTGTCTGGTTAATTGATAAATAAAAAGGCATTATATAAAGTATCCTTACTTTACTTTTAGTGCCTATTCTTTCAACAGTATTGTATTTCTTATGACAAAGTACTATTCCATTCACATCTGATGCAGTGTTTGATAAATAAAGCATTAAGGTTTACTTAAATATGAATGAAATCTAATATTCATTATATACAGCCTGACAAGATGAGATGAGATGGGTCCTCAAGGTGAAGCTGCTTGCCAGCATAACACTGTCATTAAAACTTAGCCACCAATGAGAGTGGTGTGTTAAATAAATAAATATAGGCCATGACATCGGCTGACGTGCCTCTGCAAGTCATGATGATGATGTAAAACTGCATGCAGTAGTTCAGTGCTCTTATTAAATATGTTTGTCTTTAGGTGATTTTATTATTAAGACATGTGCAATGCACTTTTTACTGCATCACCACAACTACACATAAAAACCACCCCATTCAGGACACCAGTGTAAATGTCATCAACACGACCTCACTACACCTCAGATCAAAAGACATCTTGAGTGTAGCAATCATAGTGTGTGTGATATTGCTGTCCAGATAAATCCAATAATGGCCTAGTTCTCTCTCGACTCCTTCAATATAACAATATCACCAACCTGTAGGGGATCCTTCAAGCACCTCTCCTGCATAACGTGTCTCTTTGAAGATGGGCCGGTTGTCATTTTGGTCGATGACAGTGATCAGTAGTAAGGTGGGTTCATCGATAAGGTTTCCAGCGAAGTCTGTGGTTGATACTTCCAGCTGTGTGGATGAAAAGATAAAGGAGTTTATTTTCAACAATGAAGATGATGTTCAGGGGGTCTCTCGTCTTGTTCATGGTCATCTTCATCAAACTGTAGGTGGCTGGTTCAGATACTGTGCTGTTGTGCATCCTGCTACAAAGACTTCCCACCAGTCCTCTAATGAAAAGACAGTAGTAAAAATACAGCTACACATGGACTAGCTTGTCTTAAGACAGATAAACACAGCTGCAATTATTCTATCTAAGAGCTTTCCACCATCTTTGGTTTGTTTTTGTTTTTTTAAACAATTTCTTACTTCCCTTTAAAAGGGGCTATAAGTAAGTTCTCTCTGCCGCCTAACATGGTAATGTGATTGTGATTATGGTCGCTTGCCAAGTGATTCAGCCATCATTGTATTTACAAGACAGGAGGTTAAAACATGCCTTCTGTGTACCTCTACTTCTTCATCCTTTCATGCTGAAATGAGGGCAGATTGGACGCCAGTGACTCATTATAGCAAAGTAATATTTTACAAGAAGGGACAGGAAGTTATAATGCTAACTTTAGTAGAAGAAAAGAAGTGACAGAAATAGAAGCAAAACAAGAGTTAACACTGGCATTTCTTTCCACTCCTGGGGACAGCTCTTGTCGAGTGAAGGAATGAAGTTTGATTCTAAACTCGCAATGTTTCAGCTGTCAATGCTAAAGTCGGCTATGGAGTGATAGCAAAAACTATATAGCACCTTTAAACCTGACTAAAACGGGTCTTTGAATATGTATGCATCTTCAGATTCCTTTACAGGCACTGTACATATACAGATAATACAGACAGAGCCTGTTCATATTAATCATCCTGTCCTCCTCCTCCACCTCATCTGCTCCATTACGGAGGGATTCTCCATTGGCCCACATCACATATTTATACATTATGTTTCTCTGTACTCTGCAGTATTGCTACTCATCCCCCCTGGTTCACCTAGGGGACCATACCAGTTTAGATATGCACAGTATCCATTCAGTAAACAAGCAGCTATTAATCCAGAGAGGTCAACCCTGTTTAGTCAGCCCACCTCTTGCTTTAATTTGTGCCACCAACAAGATGGTAAATGAAACTTGGAGGTGCAACTCTCTACACTAATTTCTCTAACACAGGTTGAATGAACTCATCTTTATTGACAACTTTTAACTGCCCTGGTTTCAGGTTGATAAGGGTAAATGTCATTTTGGTGGAAGTGACCAGCTGATTTATTTATTTATTCTTTTAATTTTAAAGGACAGTGATGATTAATGGATATTTTCAGAGAGTGTCATCTTTTTGCAGTTTACATTAATTGCTTGGGTAATTAACTGATGTGATGCCGATGCACATAATGGTTTGAGAATCAATCATAACAGTGATAAAGAAAATGTGTTCGAGCGATTGGTAACCCAGTCTAAGTCATGCTGACTGCTATGTGAGGCTGTAATTGAGCTAAATGCTAAATTTGCCATGCTAACATGCTCACAATGAGAAGATTTCTTTTGCACTTCTTTTCTTGTTGACAAGCTCTGCTTACTAGGGGAGAGTCGCTGATCAGATGTCAAAATTCAGGCTTCACAATGGATAAGAATGAGTATTCAAGACATATTTTCTACCTGTATTCATAAATACCAGTATCATTCCAAACGGACCTAATACATTATTCAAAAGCTACATGCAGCCTTACTGCAAGCACCATTTTCAAAATAATCGGTAATTGTCATGAATTGGGATTATTAATATAAAAAATGAAACTTGGTTTAAGTTTGTTTATTAGGAAAGATTTTCTCAGCAGTGTTTTACTCTTTAGTGATGTCTTAGAAAGGATGTGGTCATAATTTTTAAATTTTACATGAAGTACATTTGGGTATGGATTAACAGAGGCTACAGACTGGAAAAGTTAACACACCAAAAGTATGTGCTAGTGCTAGTGACTGGACAAAGAGATTGTCACAGATTTAAGATAGCTTTTGATATGATCTAAGCTTGTCTGCTACTAGAAATCCTATCTCCGGAAAAGGCTGTAACCTATGAAGTCAGTGATCTGTATCCTATAAAGATACCATATGTAATGACATTACCTCCATTTCAATCTAATCTAGTAATTTGTGACTAAAGACATCACCTAACTTCCTTTATTAGCACTGGAGCAAGGCTGTGAAATTCATCAGAGAAAGAGAGAAAGAGAGCGAGAGAGGTTCCTCCTTTATCTGTAGGATCACATTACCAGCCTTTCCTCTTCCTATCAGTAATGCATGACATCACACAACCTCTCTATCACACGGGTCATCCCACTCCTCTCCCTCTATCTCACTCCTCTGTCTTCCTCTTCCTTTGTCCTCCTATCTCTCCGTCATCATGGAGCCTGGAGCTTATAGCGTAATGGCAGTAATGGCACACATGCAGCTGAAGTATTTAGGTGTTAGGAGCCTAATGGTTTCATATATCATTTCGTCCTCCTTTTCTCTCTTCTCTATGCCTTGAAAATATACCATGAGAAGCTTTTCATGACAGGGACCATATACCCCTCTGTCTCCATCCCACAGAACTGCTGACTCTCAACTAATGGTGTTCTCAACCTAACATGTATTTTCATCCTGTCCACTGAACAGCTCACACACTAAAAAGCATAGTGTATGGCTGAAACAGGCATACAGGGATCTGCATAGAAGAAGAATTACTCTCCTATGCCAGCAAGCAAATGTACGCATGGCTTTACACACACTCACTCACTCACTCACTCACTCACTCACTCACTCACTCACTCACTCACACACTCACTCACACACATTAATGCATGCACACAGTCTAGCTTTTTCTTCTCAGCATGTCTGAGCAGTAATGAGAACATTAGCAGTGAGGTGCCGAGCATCACATTATTTGAATGGAAGATCACCCCAACAACACAGCGATAACCTGTTTGGCAGAAAGAGGGAATACATAATCAAACACGTATCAGCTTATATCAAAAGAAATGGTGTGATCTTTCAAATGTAGCCATGAACAGCTTTGATTTGCTTGACTTTCTTTGAGCCTTACAGAAGCTACGTGTGAACATGCAAACGTCTTAGCTGTGCTCCATTTCCATACTACATACAGTTTACAGTATATCAGTATGTATTCTGAGTAGTTTGTGTATTCAAACCAAAAATAGTGAAATTATTCATTATGAAGTGTTGTGAGTGTTGTAATGATGGAAGCTATTCTAACATAATATCATGCGCCTACTTGCAGCTTGCAGCAAGAAAAACTAAATTACACATAGTGGTGTAAGACTGCTTCAGGACGTTCTCAGGAATACAAGAAAATTGGTCTTTGTTAAGTATAGAGCTGCAAAATCACTTTTTTTTAATCAGTTTACCAGATATTTAAAAAATAATAATCCTGACTCTATTTGAAAATCCAAAAACAGATACAGCAAAACTGAAACTGCGCCTCTAAGTACTGCAACTTCAAGCAAGTGGTGATAAATGACCATCACAGATTTTTTTATACCTTGTCTCAAAAGCGTAATCTTTTACAAAGAATGTTTTTTGTACCCTGTGGGCTTTATGTAAAATAGTGAGTCTGATTTGCAACAATGGGAATATTCATCAAATAGAATTTGGTAAAAGCAGCATAACTTTTCTCAGTCTACACTCATCTTGCCACTGCTACTACTGTAGGTGCTAGATTTCCTCTGACAGCTCTTATTGTACTTGTGTATAAAAAAAGCCTCACTGGTCCGCAGTGGTTGGATGCTTGTGTAAATCCTCACCTATGCACCCTTTCTCGACACTTAAATATTTTTGCATAATGAAAGATATGACGTGATTTTGTCTTTCCATGGCAGCCATATAAAGGGTGAAAGAAAGTGTTTGGTTTTCAGTATGTATTTTCAGTATCTGGGCACTGTCTTTTGGGAACATTAGAAATAAGGTCTTCTGAGATCAAATCAGCCTCCAGCATATAGCATGTATAAGTTATACTGCACATACTCTACACAACACCATCATCAGTCATTCCCACCTCCAGGGAACTGTCAACTCCTAAGAATGTAACAGTCAAAGATAAATAATAGAGAACTCCCAGTTGAATATGAAAAAATATATAAAACATATTTCTTACTTGTTTGGATGTACACTATGCTTTAAATTTCATTAATTATCTGTTATTGACTCTTTCTGCATCAATGTGCAAAGAAAATCACTCATTACCTTCCAAAAGAGCAACCAATCATGATGACACAGAGAGCGTGGGCGTGTTGGCACGTTCGTGTTCGTGTTCGTGTGTGTGTGTGTGTGTGTGTGTGTGTGTGTGTAGCTTAGTGAGGGAAGTTTAAGTCAGATGAAAAGGCACTGCATTCCTCACACGGCTCATCACTTGCCTGTTAGCAAAATGAGGAGGCTATTTTGTCTCTATCATGGATCATAGCGAAATATTTTCTCTAGTTGAAAATTAGCATGTACGTGTGCAAGAAGGGTCGGTGATTTCATTTGGAGAGAAAATTACTTATTAAAGGCAGGGAGAATTGGAGAAGATGGGCCCTGCTCGTGCCAGATCAGTCACAGAGGAGTTGACAGGCTCTGACCGTTACCTGTTTAGCATCTGACCTGGCCGCAGCCTCAGAGTGTTGTCTGTGATGACAAGCCATATTGTTTGTTAAAATTAAAGTTCTCTGTGAATGCATCTCTCCAGCAGTTGCTTTCCCCTCATTTTCATTTTTTCTCTGAGACTGTGTCGGAGAAGCTTTAGCTCTGTTATTATCCCACTGAGACCTTGACACATCTCCATGGGTGAGAGGTTTCCGTTTGTTTTGAGGCCAACCTTCTTTCGAAATAATGACAGTACTTATTCATTATCTAAGTGTTCCTCATATGATTATTTTCCATGAATGGACCATGGTTAATTTAATCCAAATGGATGCTAGATGATGAATATCTTCTATTAATATTGCTATTGCAACAAAAGGATTTCCTCATCCATGTAAAGCTTGTTATTGACAAGTACCATTTACTTGT